ATAGGTTTCTAATTTATTCATATTTTATTACCAGTGGGATTTTTTAATATTATTAATTAATATTATGAATTGTAAAGCACTTTGGTCAATTAGTGGAGTTAGCGCTATATAAACTATGTTAAATTAAAATTAAATTAAATTATGTATGTATCTATTTTTTTTGCAGGCTTTTAGCACCTTTTAGCCAGTAGGTCATGCAGCAGTCTCCTTTGGAGCCTTCTCTAACAAAAGGGAATTGTGAATGGCTGTCTACCCTTGTCAGACCTTAGATTTTGAGGTTTTAACCTTTGCATAGCCCAGTACTGATATCTATTTTTTATGTTTTATCCACTTTTCATTGAATTCCCCCGAGGGAATTTTTTCTAGGCCAGTTAACACCCATTTTTGGTTTTTAGTCTCTTAAATAAATCTTGTATTACTTGCATTCACTACGACTGGTTTCATGGGTACTGCTTAGTGGTATTTTGGTTTTATTGTCATCCATGAATGAAGTCTAATCTAACAGAGGATATTTACAAGGAGCTCCTTATGCTCACTGGTCCCATTACTGATAATGCCTTTCAGAGCACTAACATTATTTCGTTTGTTGAACAATGTAGTTCAAATCTAAGTTTAAACTAATATTTGTGCATTGTGGACGTAGTTACCAAATGTCAGCACCAAGATAAAAGCTAGTCTTAGAAATATTAATTGAAACAGAACTTATTGAATTAGGAGTCTATACCTCATCTATTCCCCCATCCTCTTCATTCGTACTCCAAGCTCATAGTTTTCCTCAAGCTTGGCCCTCAGAAGCTGTCAGCAACTTGAAACAGATAATGTCCATTGAAAAATACCCGTTCAATTCATAGTGTCATACCAGGTGAAGGCTATTGGTTTGTCGACAAGTTGTTTATATCCGATTAATTTTTCAATAGAATAATCCAAACAAATAACTGCATATTTACAATCGTATAACCACAAAACACCATCGACGCATACAAGTATATCTGATCTGCCTCCTATGTACTCTAAATTGTCACATTCACTTTTTTCATATTTTTTTTGTGTCAACTATAAGCGCGCCCGCTGTACGTGCCGTATCGACCGTGAAGGACTGGAGAGATGCTTTCTCTTCGCATCGTTCATAGCTGCAATCTCTTTATAAGCTGCTTCTTCCTCGTGTGCCAGCAGGTGTCTCCAACTTATAATCCGAATTACCGACCCAGTTTGTACTATTTTAGTCTAGTTCCAAGATGGATTCTCTCGGAGAACCAGTCATAGTGTCCGAAAAGGACGATTTTTGTGAGGAAATGATGAAACGCCTCGATCTCCAGCGAAGAAACGAACACTTTTGTGATGTGATTCTAGAAGTGGGTTCAGGTAATTATCAAGCACGTTTGAAGTGTCACAGAATCGTGTTGTGTGCAGCAAGTCCGTTCTTTTATAACGCTTTGAATAATGACATGAAAGAGAAGAAAGAAGGTGTGATCAAACTGAAACAGACAAGCAAAAGTATGAAAGAAGTACTAGAGTATGTTTACACAGGACAAGTCGATGTCAATGCAAACAACGCTTATGAGCTCTTGGCAGCGGGAGACTATTTTTTGATTCCAAGCTTAAAAGACGTTTCGGCTACTTTTATTTTGAAAAAGCTAAGTGCTTTGAACTGTGTCACTGCATATTACTCAGCCATCAAGTATCGGTGTGAAAAATTAAAGAAAGGAACCAAGGAGTTTATTCATACCCACTTTGAAGCGGTTACAAAATCCAAAGGATTTTTGAATTTGAGCGTTGAGCAAGTGGAAGAGTGGATTTCCAGTGATGAAATAATTGTAGATGGCGAAGAGCGGGTCTTTGAAATAATTCTTAGATGGTTCGAGGCTCGTAAGGGAAGGAATCAGCGACATTTTTACGACTTGTTACGTCACGTTCGATGTGTTTATGTGCCACATGACTATCTGTTCAAGGTCATGCTACCTCATCCTTTTGTGAACAAACATTCTAAGTGCTCGACTTTAGTACTGGAAGCTATGAAGATGGCTTTTAATGGAACAGGAGAGTGTTTCTTCTCCCAGTCACCGAGAAACTGCCTAAAAACTCATGAAGATGCCATTTTTGCCGCATTTGCACTAGAGAATAATAACAGGCATGGCCAAGTAAACTTATTATGTTACATTCCTTTGCTGGATGAGTGGCGTCAACTTGATCCTCCCGAGGAAATTAAGCAAAAAAACTTTGATGTTCTTACTAGTGCTTATCATGGAAAATGGTATCTTCTAGGAGAAGACAACAGAAATCGTAGGGGAAGAAATCAACTTGGTACAAGACCTTCCCCTATAAAACTTGCACAGCGTTACAACCCAGTACTAAACCGATGGGATCCTGTTCAGAGCCCTTTAAAAGTGCTTCGTGGATTTGCTGTTGTTACATTCCAAGGTTTCTTGTTTGTAATTGGAGGGGAAACTGAGAATGGCCTCAGACTGAACACTGTACAAAGGTACAATTCTGAAACAAACATCTGGCAGGAGATATCACCTCTGAGCAGTCCCAGATCAAACCTCTGTGCATTGGCTGATGAACAATTCATGTACGCTATCGGTGGAAATGAATATCTTAAAACTGTTGAAAGATTTAATCAGAGAACTAACACTTGGGAAAAGTGTCCTTCCATTCTTACAGGCAGACAGAATGCTGGTGGAGCAGCCATTAAACAAAAACTGTTTGTATTTGGAGGACTTCAACCAAGCTCAACTGCTGGACATCCATTTGAAATGTACAATTCATCTTCCAACACATGGACTGGCATCTCAAGTGTGGTTGCACCAAGGGGCCGTGTGAGTGCCGTGAGTTTCAAAGGAAAGATTTACGTGTTAGGATGCTTTCAAAATGAACAGGGAAGGGAAGAAAACAAACAGTGTCTGAAGATCTATGATGTTGATCAGCATGACTGGAAGGACTGCAAAGACATTCATATTTCTGGTGACTATAGATGCACACTTTCTTGCATTAGGGTATTAAGCAACGTTGCATGTTCATATCGCACTAATCAGACATATTTCATATGAAACTTGTTAATTATGTTGACATAAATGTTAATGAGAGAAGCAAATCAGGTAGGTTGAACACACAGGGAAGTATTATGGGTTGAATAAACAGGGAAGTATTATGGGTTGAATACACAGGGAAGTATTATGCCAAGTGAGTGTGAATACCTGTTACCATAAGGAGAATAATCTCTTCTTTCAATACATTTTTAACCTCCAGCTGTGTATCCTTGTATCATCCACACTTTCATGAATGCATTGGAATGGAAAACTGCACTGATTTGAGCTTCAAGCCGCTTTTATTCTTGGACAAACGTCGTGACTAGTGTGGGGATTCGGTATGCAAATTTTTTGATGCGATAGCACGACCTCAGGAGTCTGGACAAAGCATGCATCTTGTTAAAGATGGCGGACCATCTTTATCTACAAGCTCCCCATAATATTACTTTGATTGATATTACCAGTAATTGAGGGTGCTTATAAAGGCGTATGAAAACGACAGAAAGCAGAAAGGCCTTTCTGACGGAGACATTACAAACAAGTGCGAAAGAGGAAGTGAAAAGTAACACCAAAAAATGAAACAGTTGAAAAATAAACAGTAAAACTAAGAAAAAAAAAAAAACCGATGAAATAACGTTAGAAAACAATTGTAATAGAATCTTGCACTAAGAACTGACATACCTACCCTTGACGGTGTGGACACGCGTGAAGCACTTACAATTTTGAATAAAAGATCTAATCATCCTTCTTAATTGCCTTTGTAGCGCATAGCTGTAATCTAGAAAGATACACTAACAGACCGCAAATGTACTAGACTGCGAGAATACATGACTTGCGTGTGAAATTATTGGCTTTTAGTTTTCGAGACATGACAAAAGCAACAATGTCACTCAGTTAACAAGGCAGATTTTCTTTTTCAATCAAACAATATGAACCCTTTTTGTAATTGTCCTTCCCATTCACAGTAGCATTATTGGATTTGGAAGAAATCCTCTGTGACATTCGTCAATCAACAGTTAAACATCTGATTTATTCGGGAAAAGGTCACATCACCCTGTCTGACATTTCCCTTCATGAAGGTTTGGAGTCATTTCTTGAGATCAGCTTCCTTCTGGACTTGGTGGTACTCCGCTATAAGAGCGATATATGACGATCTCTCCGATAACAGGCAGAATTACTTGATTTATACATTTGTCTCGTCATCTGGCGCATAAAGTATCCGGCATAAACACCGGCTGGTGTCAATTACAAACTGATTATTTTCGTTACGCCATTGTTTATACTGAGCGTCTCAAGTGAAGTGCAAATGTCTTCGCTGAGGACGTTACATGCAGTCTTCTGAACTTGACTTCGGTTAGTAAACAGGTGAGAGAAAGCGCGAAATAGATACTAGTAGATTGATAAATGTAGAATCTGCCTCGAAAATCCTCGTTACTCCGAAGCCATTGTCAGGTAATAGGGTATAGAAACAACATTTACTTTTCTAACAGTTATATAGACAGGACTGAGATGATTTGCGGCGAGCGTTTAAGTAAACAATGAGTTCCTATGACCAGCTTCAGTACGCATTCAGGTGATCAAGAAGACAGACGCAGTATCTTTTGACTTCACACTATTTTCACAAATAGCATGAATGTTTTTTAGTACTGTCTCGGAAAAGCTGAAGTACTCGTAAATGGCTTGCAACGCGATACATCTATGAAATGATAACAGCATTTTTTCAAACTTCGAGGCTTCACTTTCCTACAATGCGAAGATCAGCACCGAATTTACTTTTCCGACATGAAACTGATTAGTTAAAGTTTTATGTCTTTCACAAATATGGGATTCGTGAAGTTAAGAAACGTATCATTCTAAAAGGTAACAGATACATCTGACATGTTGCTTATCAAAACAAACTGCGCAGACACTAACGGAACAGCGTAATATAATTCGAAATTGTATGTAAATTAAAATTAGTAGTTACTTGACGATAGTGCATATGAACTAACGACAGAGATCTTAATTAAGTGCCTTCGCATCGTTTTAGTTAGAAGCAGGGTGGAATCCTGTCAGTTATATAGAATCTAAATGAACAAAATAAGAACATGTGATGGTCCAATGATGTTATCCTTTGCGGCTTGGAATACAAGGATCTCCAAGAGGCTCAGCGTTCGCTGCTCGCATTGCAGCGCTTGTGAGACCTGATAAGGCTTATTCTGGTTTGTAAGCTACCGAAGTAATATGGAAAGATCAGAGAGAGTAGGTCGCTTGAATCTCAGACAAAAGCATTGAATACTGGTACATCACAGGTAGAAGAATTCTCCGGTGCACTTCACCTTTGCTTATCATCCCTCTCTACTTGACACGTTAAAGGGTAATTACGCCTTCTAAGCTTGGTTAGGTGTCTGGATCGATGTTGTGAGTATTGAAAGCAAGTCGTTTTATAAAGTGTTGAAAGGGCGAACTTCAAGAAATTTGTTCGAGATTATTGCCCCCCTAAATTTTGGTCTGCAAGATGGCAAAGAAGCATTGGAAATGAAAAAAAGAAACATTAGAAACGGGGAGAGGAGTGAAAGAGCATCATGGACGTTGTTCTGGAGAAGTGTCGTAATTCTGTCTGGGAGCCGGTAAGCGACTCCAAACAAAGCCTCCTTTCATTGCAAACTTGTGTTGACCAGATGACGTCACAAATAGAATTTGGAATTCAGACATACTTCTCAAACCAATATTTTATGACTGAACACTAAAAATTTTTGTTCAAGCCGATATTCTTTTCAAATCTCACTGAAAAGAAATAGTTATTCTCAATTAAAAGTATGGCAATTTAGGTAGAAATTCGATTATCAATTCACATGACTAGTTAGAAATTATTCCCTGTTTTGATAACAAGCTGCGGCGCAAAACAGGCAAAGAAAAGACGCGAATAACAAACAGCTTGAGACTTTTTTCCTGGACCTGGTCAAAGGTTTCTGTTTCTGAAGAAACTTTTAAATCGGTGACTTATATATCACAAGGCGTGTAATCTAGGATGAATGCGATATGTGCCGATAATGTTCATTGTTGTCACCCTGTCCCGTCTGAGACACCTGCCGAGAAAAAAAAAAAAAATTCCCGCCTCCAAGAAGAACCTCCTTTTGATTCCTATCACGGGCAGCAAATTCTCCTGGAATCTTGAGATTTAACCTGCATGCAAACCGTGGGACGCTATTTGTAAGCACGTGCAAAAACTGATCATATAGCTTTCATACTGTGTTCCTCTTTCTTACCTTATAGAAATAAATGTTTGCCTACCCAACAGAGAGGAAGAAGACTTCTAATGTCTTTATTCGCAATAAAAACACAAAACGACTTATGCAGACAAGCTATTCTTGATGCAACTGAATGGGCCTTTGTCCTTTAACTAAGTGGATAACTGGCCGACGTGCCAGAGTAATATCTAGAACGGAGTTGGTCCTTCACTAGTCAGTGCTCATTTAGTTTTTCATCCAATTTTATCGTGAAGAGTCCTAGTTCATCCCTGAGATATTGCCGTCCATGAACTTAGTTCGCTCAGTCAAGGAGATTTTATTTCGAGTCTGGCTGTTTTCATCCATAGCGAGAAATTGCTAGCGTGACTTGAAACATGGCACGCGATCGAACGCGTATAAATTGTTGTCAAAACTTATGACGGATGTCAACACTTTCGTGACAATTGTAAGTTGATAAACATTCGGAAGTTGGTTTATTATAGTTTGTTTGCCTGTTTGTAGAGATTAATCTGATTAACTCTCCAAGAGAATAAAACATTTCTTGATGTCAGAGTTAATTTTTCAAATTTTTAAGTAATTAATGGTATTAATAAAAATCACTTAGGCGTGAGCAGTTGCAGCGAAAGGTGATTCATTGTGTGAAAGGCTTAATTCTACATATGAAATCATCACATATTTACATGAAATTAGAACTGCTCTTGTATGTCTGTTTGTCTTTCCGCGAAAATCAAAGGAAAGTTTTAAAACCGTTGCACCTGTGTAAAAGTTCTACACGATTTCTTTAAGTCCATCGAGCATATGAACGCTAACTTTATTTTTTCTTTGAACCAAACAGCTGTTAGAGCCATATCAAGGACTTTGATTTTATTCAGACGAATGCACGTTTCTTATCTAGATCACTATAGGATATTTGCATAAGAAAGCCAGCAACCTATTGAGCAGTCACTAACACTGAGCTTGTTTCGCGCCTGTTGCCGGCGATGGCTTCATCCTCCGAGTCAAGGAAGGAGGGTAAACTGAGAAGACTCAGCAGTCGAGAGCAACGAGAACAGTTCAACATCTACATCAGTTCAGATCCTGCACTCATAGAGTCGAGAAGATGGATAGAGGTAAGTTTTCTGCTTTTCAGAACCAGGTGATGGTTTTGCATCAGTAGTTGTTCGCACTAAGTAAATTTTATCCCCCATGGTTGCGCTCCGATCAAACCATTAGTTGCTTAATTTTCAGGAGGTGACAAGAAAAGAATTCAAAAGTCACAATTTTCGAGAATCCCTGGCAGATGGCATTCTTCTTTGCGAGTGAGTACATACAGTAGAGTTTGTTTATGAATGATTTTAGATTTTTGTAAAAACGTCAAAAATGAGGTAATTCTACGATTATTGCTGTTTGTTTCTGAGTCATTTTAACTACCGGTTTAACTTTAGAAAACTTGATGCAATAACTGCATGGCATAACTTAGGTGGTGTTTTTACCGCGTAAATTATAATTTTTTTGATATTTGGAAAATGACTGTTTTGAATTTATGTGCCCCTTTGATATTGTTGACACGCAGAACAAATGATCATCTTTTAATGTGCTTGAAATAACGACTTATAACCAAAATGTCTTTATTAACGTGTTTCGACCATTTGAACGATAAGAAGCTTGATGCCATGTTCTGAAGAGGACAAACCAAGCTGGCTCCTTCGGCAAAATCAGCGCTGCAAGATCAAAATAGAACGAAAACTTCATTTAACTCAAATTTTCGTGAGGCCACCTACGGCGGGAGCCACGTAATATGTAACTGGGCGAAGTTTGTCTGTTTTCGAATTTAAAATGAAAAGCTGCTGGATAAATAGCGAGCTTCTAAAACATTTAGCCTCAGCGGGTAATTATGCATTACGTGATGCATGGACTAACGGAACAAATGATTCTTTCATCGGTAATTATATGCCCGTCTTGACTTTAAGTCTGACGGGACTGTATCTGATGTAAATAACCTTGACAACCTTCATTTCCTAAACCCAGGTTCATATTTTTAACACGCTTAACATTCTCGAGTTTCTTTCACTTCTCTTCATTGGCCTTAGAGCATCCTCATGAACGTTATAATTGTGCGAAAGAAAGTCATGCTTTTTGGGAATATAAGTGAATAATTATCTGGACCTCTCCACATGTCCACTGCATCAATTTCGTTAGAGTTATCTTACGTGTGAGGAGAACATCGATTATGATCACAAAAGACTCATTACAAAAGACTCATTCAAGGCCTTGACCGCACTACACAAACAGACAGGCAAGTCCAAAAATTTCCCCAGTATCTCTGTATGTCACGTGACAAGAATTTTCTGGGTGTTCATTTACATGCGATGCAATGATCAGTTGAATCTTCTAGACTTAGTCCACGAACAGCATAATCAGAAATTTAATTAAAACTCCTTCGCATTTCCAGATTAGTCGAAATTGTTGGAGGTCTCTCACTGGGTCGGATAAACCGTTTGCCGATTGCGTACGCTGGAATTGTAAGTAGGAGATCGCTGTGGCTTCCCTCCTCCCCTTTGGTTTTCCTTTTCCCTTTTCCCTTTTCCCTAATTTTGCTTCTTTTCAAGATTTCCATGAAAGTTTTAACTTTTAGAAGGAATTTTTACGCGACACCGTATATTACATATATTATCCTTTACGATTGCACTTGCCCAACCGCGTCTGACAGCTAAGTTCTTCCCGCCTGAGAAAATCAGAAAGGAAGAGTTCCTGAAAACAAATTCTCCTGTCGCCCATATCTCAGCTCAGGCTGCTTCTAAAAACTGACGCAAATACTGATGGATGGCGGTCGACGACTTGGACATAGATACTCAAAGAAAAAAACTAAAAACAATAAACCATCGTATCGTTCTTTGACAGAAAAGAAGCATTAAAATCTTTAAGGCTCCGAAGTGCCGTTGCACGCATCAGAAACGCCCACGATTGCTTCAGTGCAACAATGTCATTTTTTTTTCTAAATTATGCACGTATGCTTCGTTCAGTGTGTTCTTTTTTGTTTCCTATTTCCTGAATTAGATAACAAATAGGCTAGTAGTGTTTATGCTGGTGCATGAGAGCAACAAAGCTGCGAATCAAAAGTACCTTTAAGATGTCTAATTATTTTTCTCATGTCTTCATCATAACAGGACAATGTTAACTTATTTTTCAAAGCCTGCGAAAGACTGGGACTGAAAAGGCTTCATCTTTTTGACGTCACTGATCTTCAGGAAGTTACGATCCGACGCGGTGATTCAACGTAAGTAAAGCTCAACAAACTTTCAAGTAAGACTCAGTGCAAGCTGTAGGACTGAATCGGTAAAACAAATTTTCTGGACGTGGATAATTTCAAAACTAGCAATTTCAGAGAGAGTTCAACTTAATAATAATAAAAAAACTGATTACAAACAGCTCGTAATACTGTGAGGGTCTTAACGTTCACACCTGGCATGCTCGACGAGCATTGCATCAGATATATATTTTGATGAATCTCTAAATAATTGCAGTGAACCCCTAGCTCATCTCATTTTGCCAGCGGACAGGCTCCCAAATAGGCCTAGATCAACAAGAGACGGAGGAAGGTGGAAAAGAGTAGCCTGCTAGCGGGTCGATTTCTCTCCATCATTTCGTTTCCTCTAATAGATTTTTGCACTATTTTCAAAAGCCGCATCTTTTTACAACGCACAGTTACGTGACGGTTGCTGATGTACTTCACAGACCGCGATCCAAATATGCCCTCAATCCGAAATGCGTTTGCATGTGCAGCGGGGCTCTGTTCCGCGTTCTTTTTGTCATGTTTGTCACACGAGGATGTCAGAAAGAGGGTCAACGACCGACGATTCTTTGTAAAGAACGGGGAAGGTTTTTTTTTTCGCAAAACTATAAAGGGTTCCGGTTCATATCGTATTAAAAATTATTAAATGAAATGCTTACTTTTGAGGTTGAGTCTGGAATGATAGCCACTTTGAAAAGCCACTGTTTCGAAATAACAAGAACACCAACATGACTAGAATGACGTAATTGCAGGCAGGTCCAAAAATCCCGCCAAATTTGGGAAGTTTCACATTCCTTACCCCACAGCTAAAAGGTGAATGTGTTTCATGTCACGCAGCATTTTGTGACCTATTTTTTTGCAAGCGACTGACCAAGTACAAAACATAATGCATACAATGTACTTGCGCTTCACCAATTTTGGGATTAACATACTGATGAGTTAAGAAGATTTCTTTACTTTCGGTAAAAAGCCAGAAAACCAAACGTCGAATCTTAACGGAAGTCAAAATAAACGTCATTGTGTTACCTGCGCAATTTGGGTTACTGAATGCTCCAAAATAATCCCATTCACCGCAGATCTTTTGTCTTTGCTCGTTGTGGAATGCAGAGATTGTTCTAGGTATTGTTGTAAGAGTTGTATTGGCTTTGAAAGCTTTTGATATTCCGCCGTGTTGAGCAGCGCGTATTTTCGTTAGGGACCTATACAGAAGCTTGTACTTGAGCCATTAACTCTCATGTTGTCCATATTGTTCTCTGTCCGTTAAAATCGTAGGTATTATGAATGTCTCTCACTTGTATTTACCCTTATTAGAATTCGTGTTTGTATTTATTGCGTCGCTGTCTGCGACTTGTCACAATGACATGCGAATTGAACAAGAGATCGCGCGACGCATTATGATTAGTTGTTCGATTCGACCTATGACTCGATTTCGGTCGAAAACGTATACCTTACGCTGATAAGGATTCGTTTCTTCCATATTCCAGGTCATCGAGATTAAAGGAGACGCAACGGAGGCTAGAGAATGTAAGTATTATTTACGATATATTCAAAATCGTTATAATTATCTTTCTATCCCTAGAATAGATTCGTAATCTTCAAGCTGAAATCAAAATATACGTGTGGGTAGCGTGTGTAAATCTCAAGCTCTGCACATTTCGCTGATGTCCCCGTATTTCATAAATACGAGGACAGCTGGGTTTCGACCGACTGATAAAGGAATAATTTGGTTTCGCTCAGTAGCGGTGTAGGGTTTGGTTTACGAACGAAAACCGTAAGGATCAAACTTTAGAGTCGGCAGATCTTCTGAATTGCCTGGATGACTCGAAAACAGTTATAACGTGAGGCTGTTGTACTTTCTAATTTATTCCGTTCGTAACCACCCTTGTCAGACGTAGCGTTTACATTTTACAACACTTATTCCCTCAAGTTCAAAGAGGATTTTGTAAACGTAGACTTCGCTAACCGCCAAACGACGGTAATTTATTTTTCTCGACCAAACAGTACTTAGTTGACACGTACGCGATTTTTTTTCGAGAAGTCGCGCTAAAATGCAAGTTTTTTGTGAGGATTCATTCGAAATTAAAGGTTTTTTTTTAAGAACAATTTATTTTTATCATGAAGAATTTTAAAGAACGTAAGGTGAGCGCTTTACTCTGCAACTGCAGGGGTCAATAGACCGCCATTTTAAATTGTTCCTTGTTTACCAAGTGCGCGGGAATAAAAATTTAAATTCCTGTGCCGCCGAGGTAACCAAGCGGAACCGCGGGCTCAATATCGTGTATTTTATCATTGGGATGTGAATATAACTGTGCAGTATTAGACCGACCAAAAACAAGAGGTGGCGACACAAATGTGAAGATGTTGACGCGCCACTGGTAGCAATCACAATAGAATTATTACTTGCTTTTGAGGCGAGGATAAATGTAGGTGAGATCTCCAGCTAAAATGAAAGAATATTTGCGAGTTGAAAGCGCAGCCAGCCTTATCATTATTTTTGACAAATACCCCTTGCTACCCATGACTGGCTTTTTTTTTTTGCGAAAAGACATTTCTTAGCTTTCAAATGACATTGTTTGATTGGATTTTCACAGGTTACGATTACAATATTATGGTTAGCCAAAGCAGCTCACAATCAAGGTTACCAGGGTCCTGCTCTTGACTACAGCTGCTTTACTCATCTTATTCCGGTAATAAAAAGCTCGAAACTATTTATTTTACTCGATAATTTGAATTTGGAAGCCTTGGAAGTATATTTCAATTAAGGGAGAAAATATTGCAGTAAATGGTTTTATCCTTGTAAAACACCCAGGATGCTTTCTTCTGTCCTCTTCTAAACAACCAATTTTATATCACGAGTTTTGTATGACTCGTGACTAACAGGATTTTGTCACGCGATGTCAAGGTATGTTGTCTATCTGCTTGAAGAACTAAATCTTTAATGTTGCTTCCATGCAATTAGTTATTCTCCATAATTATTGGGTTGTGTCATCAAACAAATCAGAAACCCACCAATATCCTTGTTGCACTACGGATATTTCTTCAGCCGAAAACTTGAGTGTATCAATTGCGTGATCGGATAGTTGTTCGTGATTTTCACACAGCGAAAGAAATACTGTCAAGTGATGGTTGTTTAGCCCCCGCGAAAGAGAGAAAACGAGTTTCACACACGACCGACGGAGTGAGTAGTATTCTTTCAACCACCCACACTTACTTACGAATTTTCTTTGCAGCAAGCGAACTTGGGCAAAAAGGGGCGACGATCACGAAAGAGACATTCCTTAAGTGATCTGGAAGACAGAGTGTTTGATAAGATTGACATCAGTGACAAGAAGGAGAAATTTCGGAATCTTGAAAACGAAGCCAAGCAGGTATTCGTACAATTTCATGGCTGCAGTTGATAACTACAATAGGTTACAAGTGCTTTAAACCACAAAAATCAGACCGCATATTACGCTTTTCTCATGAAAGCCAGGTTGAAAGGTCTGGACAAGGTCCTAAAAAAACAATATCTGGACACTAGGAGGGGGGCACACAATGATGTCTTTTTTCCACAAGGGGAGGGTCTCGCAAGATTCCTTTCGCGCCCCGCAAACGAACCATCTGTTTATTACGCAATCACTGAGCTTTAGAAAAGTGGATCTTGCTGCAGGCCATTCTTTACCTTAGGCATGATTTTTAACCTCACGCTTCTTTCGCCATCTTCACACAGAAAACCGTGCATTTGGAAGTAAACAGACGTAAATCAACCGGGGGAATTCTGAAAAAAAGTAGAAAAAAGAGTCTAAGTTGGAACGAGGAGGAAATAATACACAGCTACACATATAGTGACTATCTTCAGAACAGAATGCCGGATCCAAAATTTCACGATCAAAAAGACATATACAACCGCCGTAATCAACCTGTGAGTATAAATGGCTTGATAATTACAATTTGCAGAACACATTTTGAATAGAAACTAACCCTGCCGTCCATAGAAGTCTTTCATGTTTAAACTCATCATCGGAGCTGAGGACATTATTTTCACTAGTTTCCTCCTTCCCCTCCCCTCCCCCTGCAAATCAGGATCAGAACTGTTACAAGCCCTTTCCTGACTCAGTTTTGCCACCCTCCACTCCCCAACTTACCTAAATGTAACTTATTGTCAGTACTGAGGTTTCGTTAAAGATCATCTGCTGGAAATAAGGTCTCTCTACAATATACAATCATAACGTGCAAGTATCTTTGGTAATTTTGGCCAATGTTAAGCAACGTTGGCCAATGATTGATACCACAGAAACAGCGCAGGGTAGTTTATTAAAAGGCTGATTTTAAAAGAGGTGTTTCATTTGTGAATTATCCATTTTTTGTAAATAACAGGACTCAAACCAGGAAAGATCTCGCCGTCGGTCTAGTGGTTCCTCGGATCGCGGTCTGACGTCACCACCACCGATTTCACTCGGTAGGAGAGTCGAGGTGGACTTGAAAGAGAAGCAAAAGAAATTCGAAGGACTAGACAAAAATGCTGAAGAGGTAACTACTGGGATAAAGATTTAGACTGAGTGCATACGCGAAGAACATTCAAGAGTTCATTTGGGGAGTATTTTCCCGCGAACAATCTCCACTTTTGAGGTTGTGCCAGAAAAGAAATGTCGAAAGTGAGTAGTCTAAGGCAAGCGAAACCGCTACCCATCCCATCCCGGAGATCATTCTCGTGTCCCAGAAGCTGTCCACGGCTGTATCTTTGCGTTTATTTAAGCTTTTTATTTGTCTTAGTCGTGTTAAGTTCACTGCATGGTATTAGCCCTCGGTAATTTGTCGCTCTGTTTTGTTTGTTTGTTTGTTTGTTTGTTTTTCTGGTTGATCAGATCTTCTACAGATCCTTCATATGCCATTTTCCCTACTGCATTTGCGTCTGGTATTCTTATACATAATCAGCGAATTTGTCGTTTTTATTAAAAAAAAAATAGAGTTTGAGGTTCTTTATTATTCATTTGCAATTTCTTATTCTGAGTTGATTGAGCATTTCAAACTTGTAGTCCTGAATTAATAATAGTGTTTAAAATTAATCCAGTGAATGTAAGAGTGATCGGAGAGGAAATTCACCTTTCATTCATTATTAGCATTCTTTCCGGCAGAATCTTATAATTATCACTCAGAGGAAATTTCATGGATAGATCACCTAATTCTAACCAGTAAATAAATATATCTTATTAACCAAGCGCGAGGGCCGTACTGAGAGAATATCGGCCCGAGGTCTTGACAGTACGGACCGAGCGCCGATATTCTTCCAGTACGGTCCCGAGCAAGCTTGGTAAATAAGAGGTTTATTATATGACTGAAGTTCAAAGGGACACAAGTGCGGTATCATTCGGGACCATTCCGGACAGTGCCCGGTCCAATACTGAGAGAATATTGACCGGCAATAGAGCATTTTGATTGGTTGATTTCAGTTATTGGCCCTCTGACTGCCCGAGTCGTGTAATAAATGTGTGGTATGAGTTAGGAGAATACAGCAAAACTCTTGGGATTGAAATAGTTAATTGTCAGTGAAAGCTACATACCATAAACATGATATTGGTTGCTAATCAACCTGCCATATCTCACTTCACAACTTTTTTGCCATGACAGCACCCATGTGCCATCGTCTTGCAATTCTATGAAATAAAATAATTGAGAATACTGCTCCACCTTTCCGATGGGGGCTGGCCTATTATTAGTCTCCCTAACCCCCTTCCCTCCCCCCCTAGAACTTCTTTAGGTTTCCCCGGCAATTCTCTGGTGAAACACCTTTATCTTGGGTGGAAAGATACCTACAGGAGCCAGACCTCTCGTGCTCGTGTATAAGTTCAGCGCGTTAATTCATGGGCCAGAGGGTCATTGGGGTCAAAGGAAACATTAAAAAAACATAACACATATTTGTTTGCATTTGGGTAACGAAGGAAGTGTCGAGTTCAGCTGTCGGTATCGTAAAGCAAAGTTCGAGTACTGTCAGTTCCGTTCATATTCTGGTGATTTTTCTTCCTCTAGCAATCTGCTGTGTTGATAGGCAAAGCTCGACCAAAGTCCTGGGGACCAGGAGAGATAAGAAAGGCACTGGAGAAACAAGGTTCTGTTGATGTTGCGTTCAAGGACAAACATCAAAACTACGAAAAACTTCAGCGTCAAGCAACTACGGTATGAAAAATAATCACAAAGCACTACAAGTATTGCTGCCAAGATATGAAAGTACTTTACCCCACTTACACAGACCGTCCTTTTAAATTATGAACCGATAACGCACAAGCAAATTTTTCTATCAATAAATTTTATTCGATATACTTAGTCAATGTTTCATGTTATCTTAACTTGCATTGCCACATTTTAAAGTGTTTATTTGTACAGCATACTCCAAAAAAATGCCATAAAATTCTTTTGTTCGTTTCGCAAAGACTTCCACCTAATTTTACTAGAATGGTTTATATGAATGGTTTATATGAAAGGTTCTTTCCAAAGATTTTTGTGCCGAATTACCATACATGATTAAGAAGCATTTCCAAGGACTCAAACTGCAAAAACAACCTGCTCTAATGAAAATATACGATGAATATCTACAAAAGCAGGTGGCAGTTTATATTTGCATGATAATTAGCCATTATAATCGCCTTGTGTCGGGATGACATCTTTGTATAGCTTGTATGAACGATATTTTTTCGTATATACAATACAGGAAAGCGCCGTGTTAGAGGGGAAATTACGACCGCAAGCAGACAGGGATGGACGGCCACAAAAAGTTATCCTTGGTGGAAGATCAGATGTGAAACTTCGTGAGAAACAAAAAGATTTTGAACGACGTGATTATCAAGCTCAAAGGGTATTGAATTTATATGAGACGAATTGAAAATATACCACTGATTTCACATTCTTCTTGTTAATAGATGTTGTCATGATCTCGATCCACTTTTAGAAACTTTTATAATTTGAAATTTGCAACTGAAAGAACAAGAAATAGTTTAAGCCGTGAAACAATTTGACTTGATCGACTCAATTTGGAACGGTTACGTTTGTTATATTGGACAACAACGCTTCCTAAATTAAACAAAACTTTTAATTAGCTTCGAGAGACTTAGAGGGGACGAAAGATAAAATGCAACGATTAAGGAAACGAGGGAAACTGTTGCTTAACGTTAAAGACCACTGTTTTAATTCTTTACCGTTTTAAACTGCCTTGTCAATATGAGCTTGTTGGGAGAAAATTAATCATCAATTATGGGTAAATTACGTCATGGAATAAGTTACAATATAAAAATGTTGGATGCACCAAAGTGTGCTTGATGATTAGACAGACTGGCTGCTGTGCTTATATAGAGTTTGTTTTGCTTTTAATCTCGGTAGGAGAAAGCTGTTCTTGAGGGAAAGCTTCGTACGTCCGCCGTAGACGGAAAAGAAATAAGAGAAAACCCTGTCATGATCCCAAAACGTGAACAGATTAAGCTGGGAGAGAAAAAAGCAACTTTCGAACAACTTGACAAGCAAGCAGAACAGGTTAATACACTTTTATTTTTCATACGAAATTCAAGTCGTTCCAAGTGTTAATTAAATGATTTGTCCATCCATCCCTCATAGGTTAGATTGTGAATAAGATAATATGCTTGTTGTTTTTCTGGAGCTTTATAATTAACCCAACACAGTGTCTTATTCATCAATAGTGCCAGCACTCTCAGTTTTGATGTGATAATTATTCGTTCGAATCGCTCCTTTAACGTTTTCCTTATCTAGACAAGGATGAAACTTGTTTTAGTTGATAACTGCGCTAATGGCTATGTTAATTGTTCTGTGATTCTGGTGTTAGAAAGTTGTTGCAAACATCGTATCAACTGCTACTATATTTTGTTTGTAAACTGTCATCTTAAACAGCACTGTCAAGGTAATTTTGGTATTTTCACACCCTGTAACCTTGCTTCAAATTAACCTTAGGATGATAAGGTCAATTTAAAAACTTGAGCTAGATACAAATTATTACCGAAAGCACTTGTAGAAGAACCTCATTTGGTAAAGTTTCTGATTTCTTTTATTGATATTTTCCCTTAGGACTCGTCGATTCTTCGTGGCCAGTATAAACCATCGCCAACAGATACTGGCAGCCTTAAGAGATCATCCAGAGTTGGCCTTCCGAGAGATGCAAACGTTGGTCTCCTAGAAAAGCAGCGCACCTTTGAAGAGAAAGACTCTCAAGCTAAGAAGGTACAATGCAAATAACTTTGTAACGGAAAAGCATCACTTATCTGTAGTTAATCTCACCCATATTCCATTCTGATCGAGCTTTTTACCTTCCTACCCAGTTCTCTTGAACAAAACACACGTAGTAACTGCATATTGATAAAGCATAATTGTCAATGAAAATAATAATCATTCGTTTCCTATCTATAGGAAAGTGAAATTCTTGAAAAGAACAAGAGAAATTCATACGGTAGCCCCGTTAAAGAACCCACGCCACTGAGTACCTCTACGCGACCACGGATTGCTGGTTTCCAGTCCTCTTTGGATAGAAAGAAGGATGCCTCTGACGTCACAAGGCGAAACCAGCAGGAAAGACCCTCGCGACCAGTGTCCAACTACTACGACTACAGCAGCTACAATGACTACCCAAAAGCAAACGGTGTTGATGAAATTTCCGCAAGCACAGAAGGTATTTATCAAGTGTCGGCTGAGGAACCAGTAGAATCCCTTCCTTCGGTTGGATATGAGCGAGTGAACACGAGGCAGAATGAACGAGGATTTTCAGCGGAACAAAATAACCCGACAAACAGAAACGGAGAGTATTCCGACTATGTTAAGCGACGTTATGAAGAGTCAAAGAGGAGACATGCGTCGGCGGAGGAGCCTGTAGAGATAAACTTAACAGATGCCAAAAATCTGTCTTATCGTGATCTTGTTCGCGCTCCACGCAAAAAATCTCGCGAGACGTTCATACGCGAAAAGAATACCGTCGTTCCAGCGGAAGAGATGCCATGGCGGAAGGAAGTTCGAGAGGTCAAGGAAAAAAGACATCTTTATTCTGATGAAGAACAAGATGCAAGTTATGGGCCCCGGCCCACCTCGCCACGTTCTGAATTGGGAAAGACACAGTATCTTGAACTTGTCGCTCCTCCTTTTAAAAAAAAAGTGTACACCTCCGATGGAGAGAAAAAGTCTGCAGGCGAAAATGCACTGGAAATGCCTTGGAGAAAAGAGGTTAGAGATAGAAGATCTGAATCTGACGAAGAACCTCAGCCATCGAATTCAGAACTAGCGCGGATTCGACCTCCCTCCCTCAAGACCCGAGATGCCTTTGTGACTACGGGGAATGACAAAGACGCAGATGAGATGCCGTGGAGAAAAGAGGTAAGGGAACTAAAGGAGAGACCGAGAGCAGAAGATGACCTGGAGTATCAAGGTGACAAACCATCGCCTGAACTTGACCCATCACCCAGTCCAAATTTCCGGAAAATGTCTTACAAAGAGTTCATAAATGTGCCTTCCAAAAAACGTCGAGAAGTTTTTCAGGCTCAGCTCCAAAAGGAAGAAGAAGAAATGCCATGGCGAAAGGAAGTACGTGAAATAAAAAAATCTATGGCAGAGGACGAAGAAGGAGAATACCAGAAAACGTCTGCTACTCTGGCTCACTCAGCTCCAGAACATAATGACCGAAAATTAGACTACAAAGATTTTTCTCCCAAGCTTACCAGAAAAGCAAAGGAAGGCTTCTTGGTCTCTCAAGATAAGGAGGAGGAAGAAATGCCATGGCGTAAAGAGGTCCGTGAAATGAAAAGATCGGTACTCGAAGATGAACCTGTGAAGCGTTCGTCTGCCACAAATGTTCATTCGTCACAAGAAGCAATCAGAGACTATCGGAAGCTCTCCTATCGCGACTTTGTTGCTAGACCAAGGAAAAAATCATTTGAGAGCTTTTTATCGAGCGAAGAAAAAGAGAAGGAAGAGATGCCGTGGAGGAAAGAAGTACGGGAATTAAAATATAGACCTCCCGATGACGAGGAAATCAAGCAGTCATCTCGTTCTGAGCTTCAATCTTCTAATGATGATTCATTCCATAACATCCGTGATCATCCTACCAAGCGGGCTACAGAAGGTGAACGGCAAAGGAGTCGAAATGAGCCATATCATGTTCACCCTGCTGGGGTTGGAAACATGTCATACAACGATTTTGCTTGTCCACCATCCAAAACAGATCAACTTCAGGGACAAGCACAGCGAAAGACTAGAGTGAAAGACCTAACCAGGAAGTTTACAGATATCGAGGCGGAGAACACTCTTCCGAGAAAAGGCGGGCCACCAGCGCGGAAATCTCTGGTGGACATTGGAGAGCTGAAACGTATAGAACGCGAAATGAGGACAAAAAGTTGGCATGGTATCCCAGACGACTACGACTCAGATGACGACTATGAGCGGCGAAGGACCCGCTCAGAAGAAGAAGCTGAGGAAAGAGTTCGACAGCATTATCATCGCGAGAACATTTCTGGAATGGAGGAGCTGGATGACGTATTTCAAGATCCAGAAGGGTACTTCGATCAGATTAGAGCTCCTCCGCCAGAGAAGTTTAACGGAGTGGTGGCGGAAGAAGTGCCTGTTCAGCACAGTGCTCCTTCCTGGAATGAACGCGATGACAGAGGGTTGCAAGTTGTGACAGTGCGCTCAGCAGATGACCATGATCATTACAATCGATATGACATACACGAACAGCCATCCTCGTTCTCTATCTCTTCCGAAGGCTCTTACGATAAACGCACTGTCAGGGATGGATATCTTTCAAAGAACACCCCATCAGAGGATCGAGTTGTTGTGAAGCAGACCTGGATTCAGCCCAACCGGGTGGAATTACCTGAGGCCTCTCCTAATCCTCCTGAACACGAGGGAAGAAAGAATGTGCATAGAGAATATGTTGAAAGAGACGAAGGTCAATTTCTGCCGCAACCTTATAAAGATGAGCGATCATACCAGCGAGATTACATGAAAAGAATACCTTTCCAACCAAATGTTGACTATCATAGAAATGAAGAAACCTTTTTGTCAAGGGGCGTTGACCTTAACGAGGAGAAATGTTTCATTGACGAGAGTTATTATACAGAACAAAACCAGCCTTATTATCCGGGAGGCTATGATTACAGAGGTAGGAATCAAGGTCAAATGGATAACGAGGATTGGAAACAAAGAGTAGTGCGTCTCGATCCACGAGAACATAGAAATCAGCCAGCCAAAGTATCTGTCAAAGGTGACAATGCCATGGTGTTTGGTTCTCCGATTATGGTCACTGCCAAACCAAGACCCCAACAGCTGACACAAAATGAAGGCCAAGGAGATTATAGACAAAAGCAGTCTGGAGTGTACGACTTCCTGCCGGTTGAAGAAAGGTTCTTGAATGACAGAGATGTAATTCCAACTAAAAAAGAGAGTTCGTATTCCAACAGAAACACCGTAGAGTCTATACCAAGTGATAAGGAGCAAATGGAAAATGCCAGGCGACGACTTCTACAAGATATTAAACACCGAGGGGAAAACGGAGTCATCAAACCACCGCAAGAACCCAGAATGCCGTCTCGACCACAGGTGTTTGGCGTGTTTGCGCGCACTGATCAGAGGATTACTTATAACCTTGACGATATGCGAGAAGGTCAACCATCCAACTTGCCTCAAAAAGAGTTAGAATACAATTTTCAGGAACACCGATTACGTGACGTGCAAGACAGTTTACAGGGATTCACTGAGGGCGTGGATCGACAAGGTGTGACATTGTACATGGAAAGACGACTCCAGCAGGACGGAGAGGGATATGATTACGAAAATATTGCCTCCAGTCAAACTGAGTTGCATCCTGTAGTAGTATCCGCGGTAGAGAGCCAAACTCGAAGGTGGGGAGATGGAGCGTTTGAAGCATCTCCATCAAAGGATGAAAATCGAGCTGGAAGGGGGCGAGTCATGAACTTTTCACATGACCAGGAAGAGGAAATGCATGAGGGACAGAAGAAAGAAGGCACTAACGTGATTGGTGATGGAACGGTTGTTTATGCAGCTGCGGAACCTGTTCAGAGAGAAGGTTACGACGCTGACCGGAAAAGGGAACAAAGACAAAAGGAAGAAATGGTGAAAGAGCAGTTACGGGATGCTGAGTATAGAGAAAAGTACAGAAGAGAATTCGAGGAGAAGAATCGGAAACAGCGAGAAAACTCGAAGTATCTCATGAGTCAGTTACAAATGACCATGGATGGTGAAGAAGATTATGAAGATGAAACAGAGAGGCCGCGTAATGACGAGATTGGCGAACGAAGAGAGATTCCACGGAAGAAAAGCCACTCCAGCGACGATGAAATTTTGAAAGCGGTTGCAGCAGAAGAAGACGATTGGCAAACAAAGTTGAACAAAAAGGCGGAAAGTGAAAAGAAGGAGACTAGACGTAGTGAACCTCCCTGAAGAGTCGATAGTAGCGACTCGCTGACGCGCATCAATGGAATTGACTTCGTTAGTGAAGAAAATGTGGTCCTCAGAGAGAAAAAGTCCTTCGAACAGGAAGAACATCTTCGGAAACTTAGAGCAGAAGAAGAATCAATGGTCCAAGAGGCTGAAAGGCAAATGAAGAAGAGAGCTACTTTGAAACAGCAAACACAAGCTGACGAAGTTACCATTACACCGGTTGAGAAGCCTCCTGTGGAATTCTCAATCAATGAAGAAATGTTTGCTGACTTCCAAGCCGAAGAAAAACATAACAAACACGTTTATGATGAAAATAGAAATTACAATGGACCGAATACAGAAACATCTTTCCAAAGAAACGGATACTATAATGATGAAGAATACAAGCCTCCTAAACAGCTAGAACACCAAGATGAAGAAAGACATTATTCAGATTACATCTCAAAACCACAAGCAGAGGTTTTGCCCACCAACGGACATTTCGAAAGTGACGTTCAAAACAAGACGCGTGCAGAACTGCTGAGAGAAAATGGAGACCAGTATCAACAAGATAACTTCCCGGAAAATTCCGACGCAGCTCCTGAAGTAAACGGTTTTGAAGGTTATAGTATATACGAGACATTTATTCATGGCGAAAGCAATCACGTGGTATGTGCCAGTTGTGGCACCTCAATTGAGAAAAGTCCATCGATGTACATAGCGGAATTAGACCGATACTGGCATGTCAACTGCTTCAGCTGTGTGGTATGCAGAGCGTGGTTTGGTGACGAGTACAGCCCAGTCCTTCATATCACCAACTCCATGTTACATTGCGAGAGATGTTACATAACGGATGAAGGTAAGTGACATTTAAAACGTCGCATTAGACTATAAGAACTTACCAAATCCCCCATTTCATGTGCAATCGTAGTGAAGCATCAAAGTTTTGCCAAAGAGGAACTTAGACGAAATGCTTGAAGTGTGCTATCGTGTGAAGATGCTATCGGGCTTTCTTGTGCGAGTCAGGTTCTCAGTTTTGTAGGCCTTTATTTTTCAAACTGATGCATCAATCTGCTGGATGTTTACAAAAACAAGAACCCACGACTATTCAGTTTTGTAGGCCTTTATTTTTCAAACTGATGCATCCATCTGCTGGATGTTTACAAAAACAAGAACCCACGACTATTCAGTTTTGTAGGCCTTTATTTTTCAAACTGATGCATCGATCTGCTGGATGTTTACAAAAACAGGAACCCACGGCTATTCTGATGTTTGTATCTCTAGTTTATCGTCTGCAAGTGTTTGCTAATCTGGCATTTATCTTTATTCTTAGGTGAAAGATGCACTGAGGTGTAGACCCAGACTAGTTTTAGAGACCTTTTTAAGGTTGTCAATGTCAATGAAAACTATTTTAATTTTTTTCATTTTATTTTTTTTTAGTTTAATTGTGAATAATTAACGCACAAACAGAAACGCTTCGTGTGCCAGTTTTCCCTAAAAGCAGCAAATATATATATATATATATATCTATTAGACACATGGTTACTACTCTCAATTTACAATGATCCCTTCAAGGCGTTTAACAAACAACATTTAGTCTCTATGTTACAAAAAATTTTTCAGTCTCTGTCCAAATAGGACAGTTGTAAGCGGCGATGCTCTTGATAAAATAGGGCTCGTCACACAACGTTTATAAACATCATTTAGAATTCATCTTTTTTCTCTATTGAACTGAACGTCAAGAAAAATTCTTGAACGATGTATAAAAGCGGTCTCAATGTGGTCATGTTTTTGACAGCCAGTGGCTTAAATATTTTAAATTTACGGCTAGTGGTTATCCACCTTCCTTTGTGATTGAAATAAAAAAAAATTTACGTTTAATTTTTTTCCGACAAATGTTTAAAATTTTTCAATTTTTAGGCCTGAAGGTTAAGTTTTTAGCCGCTTTACAGCACGGGTTAACTCCGTTGAGACCCTCGTGTAATTTTATAAACTTACAGTCGCGCCACGTGTTGAATCATGGTGGGGATATTTTGTTTAGTAATTTAGTTCGTTTGCTCTAGGACGAGAAGATGATCACAATGCAGATCATTTTATTATTGTACTGGGAAGAAAGACATTCTTTCTTAAAACTCGTTATGTTTGAGTTTTACTCATAATCTTTTCGTAGAAATAGCCAGTCAAACCACATCATAATTCAAGTACTTACTTAAAAAAAAATATGCATTGCATTTTAATGAGCCACAGTCCTTACAAAGGACTTCCCAAGTACAACTTTTTTAACAAAGCTATGGTTGTAAATATTGTTATTAAGCAAAATACCATTTTACATTTTTTTCTCACTCTACGGAGTAAATTAGGAACTAAAATAATAAAAATTTTAAAAATTTTGAATTCGCTAACGTTGTTCTTCTTCGGACGAGGTGATCGTGTAAAATCGCTGTTGCCGTCGATCGAATTGTACTAAATTGCCTAAACAGAAGCTTGTGGCATAGCGATGTAAAAATTTCAGACCAAACACTTAAAATTACCCCATTATGAAAAAAGTATCTAAAATGTATCTAAAACATGAAATACGACAAAACTCGGGGCTAACCCTATTGACAGTGCAGCCTTAACATCTTCCTGGCTCGATTTTCGACTATGACTTACCACGTGAAATCTGTTATTTTTGGAGCATGGTCGCCGAACATAGAAATAAGGTCTCCATTTTGTCAAGGGGAAAAAGAAATTGAGTCCCCCTCGAGGAGTTGAACCCCAGAAAGTCGGAATCCGCGCTCCAACGCTCTAACACTGAGCCGTAGAGAACTCGAACGGTGATCTATGTCATCAGCAGCTTCATATGTGCTAAGAGACGTGCGACTGTTAAGATTAGTAAAGTCGAAAGTGTCGTGTGAGTAAAATGAATCTACATTGGTGCACTGGCAACGTGAAAAGATAATCTTTAGATCCTTCCTCAGCTTTAAAATAGAGTCTACGTCTAACTTTACTCCTCATTCACATGTTTGTGTTGATCTGTTCCGTTTTGACGGGTAACAGACCTTTCCTGCCGGCCAGCTTGCACTGCATACATATTGGACCGTTCGCCGTACGATGCCGCCGAATCGCATCTTGTCCCTCTTTAGCCTGAGAAAATGTATTGTCTGTGCTGCCACAATAACAACAAGTTTTCATAGAGTCTAGAGTATTGGAGTAAAATGTCATTTCTATGGGTTCATCACAGGAACGAAGCGTTTTCATGAAATTTCAGTCTTCAAGCGGATGAAGAGGGGGTAACAATGGCGTACCGCAAGAAAATACACTGTTCTTTATGATTTCTTCTAGGAGAATTCTCTCACGTGTCGATAGCTATTTTTGTGCGTAAACACAACGAGGTTTGGAGCAACGGAACAATAAACAACCCGGCTACGGACTCGATCACGAGTAAACGGAGAAAAATGATACGGGGCTGTCTCGAAGCGAACGAAGTAAGACTAAAGTCAAACTCAGAGTTAGATGTGGGACTGGTTGTAGCCAGGCAAGAAATACAACTGGTCACCATTACGATTCTGAGTGAACGTATATGATCGACGAGATGATAAGTGGTTTGCGTGTTGAACACGTCTGACGACGGAGAGTTCAAATCTTGGTCTTATACATTTATCCTGTTACGTCACTTATTTGTAGCCGACATCTTAAAAAGAACGAGAGGTATGCAATTCCTCTTCTGACGTCACGATGGATTCTATGCTAGCAAGAACGTCACGATTAATTCTAACAAAAAGCGTCCTCTTATTTATTTATTTATTTTTTCAATCAACTGATTTTCATCAACTCTTATAAATTTTACCAGTCGGCGATCAATTACCGCCAGAATAAATATTTCCTCGTGGCTTGATTTCGCATGTTTTGTCACCGACATCATCGGGGCGTAGGCCATTGTGAAATTTTACCTCCGAGTAAGAAATTGGGTGTGAAACGTATGACATCATTTTCAATTGCATACTTACTGTTGTCATGGTGACAATAACTGTAGAAACGGAATTTCTGGAAATTTCAAGAAGGATTAGTTACGCAAAAGAGATATTAGAGCATTCTGATGCCACACTTTTTAACTTACGATCTAGTTTGCTCTACTCAATCGAACGTATTGATCGATCGAATTTATGACAGTGACCTTCGCAGTAATAAACCCTAATTTAGTAGTAGTGGAAAGAAGGCCTGAAATAAAATTCAGGCCTTGTTTCCACTACTACATACTCGGTGAGGTAGGTTTAATACTGCGAGAATCGCTTTAAAATCGAACAGTAGTGTCCAAAATAGGGCACTAGTGTCTGACATCGGATAGTAGTGTCCAAAATAGGGCACTAGTGTCTGACATCCGACACTTTAGTCCAAAATCGGACATTAGTGTCTAAAAACTGTTAACTTCTTTGATGTAATTAATTTCAAATTTCAAAATCATGGTCGTATTTTGGCGGGAAGTCCACTCTGCCAAATTATGAACGAAGCAGTCAGGGAAGGCCATTTTTCGCC